GACAAACTCTTTAATATATTACAAACTGCAATACAATACAGGACTCTTGCATAAATGGTGTGAAAAATAATGGTTTTCTTAATCCGGAGTATGCTCGCCACGTCTTCCACGCGACATAAAGAAATTTTTTTGAACAAGTTGTTAAAGGTGGGTTTGAAGTTCGTCTACGAAATGGAAAAATGCAAATGCACCTTAAGCTGGTAAATTGTCAATTGTTCTTAAGGTTAGGTGCTCGCGACATAAAGAAATTGACAAAGTACCAAGGTGGAAAGTAAACTCAGTGAAGTCCAAATGTCCATTCACAATTACCCTACCATTTCCCCCATCTTTCATTGGGGGTGGTTTTTTTTTTTCTTTTTTGTATTCTTACAGCACACAAATTAAAAAATGTAATAAATATATATTTTTATAATTAATTTATATAAATAATAAAAATTAATTTAAATTTAATTATTTAATTAAAATCATTCACGTGACAATAATACTAAAATAAAAATTAAATTTTATTATTTTTTATATAAATTAATTATAAAATGATATATTTATTACATCCTTAATTTATGTCTAAGAACACAAATTAGACAAATCCTTTTTCATTTCAAACAAGGATTTAATCGTACTTAATCTGTCACTCATTTAAGCATAAACTCTATTAAATTTAAACTATTATCTAGCACAGAAAAGTTGATTTCTTAGACAATTTTCAACTCTTTCAGCCATGCCGTGTGAAGGGGACAAGGGTCGGGTTTCCCTTCAGCAATCGCCTTCTCTGTAAGTGAGTAGAACCATCCATTCCTCCATTTGAACTGTAAAAACAAAAAATAATAAATAATAAATAAATAAACAAATACACATGTTTGGATTCTAGAAGTGCTTACTTTACCTCTTTAACTGCAGTTGGGAAATGAGCAACAGCTCTTGAATAAGCACATAGTCTATCCTCCATAGCTTCTTCAAATACTATGCCTTTCTCTGCAGCAGCAGCAGATGCAAGTTCTGATACGAGGCTCGACACCTGATAGCATATAGAATAAGGACTTCAATTGTTTCCCAATAAACAATTGAGTTATGTAAATGGCTTTCTAGTTCAGAAGAAACAATCTGATGCCTGGAAGAACTGCAGAAGGGATCTTAATCTTTACAGACAAGGAAACATAAAGCTGCCTTTTTACTCAAGGGTGGGGGAAGAGTTCAGTTTCTTATATCAGAAAGCCTACACGGATTTTAAAGTTCTAGTTTTTTTTTTTTTGGATTGGTGAATATAAAAATTTACTAAAAGATTACGGGAGGTACTGCAACTCAATAATACATCCATCAAACAAAGTGCTTAAACAAACCCACAACTCCTCCAACTAAATTAACAAACAATGCAACTAACTCACAAATAGAAGCAAAAAAGAAGATAAGGTTCACAACTAAACACACAAACCATCCAGCTAAACAGACAAATAACAGCATGCAAACCCACGAGAGCAAACAAAGCACGGCAGAAAGAAGCATGCACGACACTAAATTGAGAAACAAGCAGAACCACACAGCCTATTGAAACAGCTTCTTGAGTTAACAGCAAATCAAATCAATTTCTGGTAGCTAAGACTAACACATAATTTCACTGACACCCTACTCCAAACACCCACAGTAAAAACTCAACAGAAAAAGTACAATTCACCAACACTGCCCTTTCTTTCCATCAAATCCAACAACACTGGTACAATTTACTCATCCGAACTAGTGCTTTTCATGCCACTTTTATGGGCAAGCACAATCAAATTGAACTACTCACATTATATGCATCAGTTTTATTCCACAGAAGAGAAGAGGTATTCTTGTGATTTGAGTTTAACACTCAGCTTAGCATAACAACTTGTAAGAACACACAGTAAGCTAATTATCAAGCTACGTACAATAATGACAAGACAGTTACCTCAGAGCGATATTCGTTCTCCACAACACCTACAGTTGCACCAGGATGACGAGCTCCAACAAGCATGAATGCTGAAATCCATATTAGCTTCTCTATCATCTGCTTCTGAAATGCTTCCTTGTCGAGAACCTGATTCATAAATGTTAATTAATTGAAGATATTTATATTAAAAGAATTGAGTAGAACAAAAGATAATCGCATTGTTCTTTCTTTTACCTTGCAAGAGAGGCCACCAGCATGCAATCTTGCAGCTATAGCAGATGCCCATTTTCCAAATGCCGCAGTCAGACCTTCCGGATTGGTATCAGTTTTCCCATCAGTAGGAGGCTCACCAAGCTTTGAAACAGCAAAATATGCTAATACTTGGTCTGCATCATTGAGACCTTTACTTTGAAGCCAAGGCTCCAGCATCCCATTCTGGAAAAAAACCAAATCTGCTAGAATGTCAAGAGCTATTCAATCAGACACCAAAACAATGTCCATAGGATAGAAAACAACTGATGTATTCAAACAGATATTACAGATATTGATACAGAAAAAAAAAAAAAGGAGATTATCATAGAAATAGCAGCCCTGACATCAAACTGCAGTCAAACATCAAGTAATTTCAAAATTATCAATTTAAGTGGTACAAAATTTCTCTACTTCACTTAAGTCAATCCAAACAACGAAAAAATCAATCTCTACTTCTTAAACTATGGGAGAAAGGAGGCGAGCAGGTGATGATACCGTTCCATCTGGACTGAGGAGTGGCCTCAAGCACAGCGTCTAAGTCATCGTTCCTGGTGCATACCAAAATAGGACCCTCAAAATCGAGCGGCACGGGCTCCCCTCTCTTCACTAGTATATCATTACCAGTACCCATTTCTTGCAATGCCCTTCCCACCCGTCCACCACCGACAATCACCGCAGGAAGCACCTTGGTAGTCGTAGTTGGAGTCGCGGCCATCACAATGAACGACCTTCTTCTAGAAATAAATCTTGTTCTGCAAAAGGTGAGTTTTCCCAAGGTGGGTTTCGTTAATTGAGGCAAGAGGAGGGAGGAACTAGAAAGAGTGGCCATGACGGGCGGTTCCGGTTCTGGTAATGGGCGTCGGAGGCATGGTTGCTGCGTGTGCTATAACTGTGTTTATGGAGAATTTTGTGAGGTAAGGGACAGAGGAAGAGGTGATCCCACAATCACCACTCAATTCCTGGTGGACTTATCAGTTCCCATTCTAGGCTCACAATATTGTGATTCTAGCTCATGTTGCTGGCCCAAAAACCATTTACAGCTTCTTTTTTTTTTTTTGAACAGGGTATATTGTGGGGGTGGAGGTTCGATCCCAACCTAAAGGTTGTAGGATGCACTTTTCAAGAAGGTTTAAAGTCATCGGGTCACTAAATCCAAGTGCTAAAAAAAAAAAAAATCCCATTTACAGCATATTTGGTTATGTTACATTTACTTGGGTAGAAAGTAGAGTAACCATTGCTTTTATAATTTCAACAAGAAACAGTACTTCATCAACCATTTATTCATGAGGTGGGCTTGAAAAAAATGTTGTAGGGCTGTCATTTAGGCTAGCCTATTGGAGTTTGATCTATCGGAGTTGATCAAACTCCAATAGGCCAGCGTATTGGAATGTGTTATTTATTACACAAATTCAAGCTTGAAAGGCTGTTATAATTATTGAACTGAGTTTGCGGTTGTCAAATACTACCTAACCAACACAACAATATCAAAATTTTCAAACTTCACTAGAACTGAATACAGTTTTGACCTTAGCCGTCTCAACACCCAACTTGAAATTATTTATAGCTTTAGATGTAAAGTATGCATCTTAAGTGTACTATATTTATGTGTGTGTTTATATATATATATATGATATTTGAGTTATGATTGATATTTTAACCATATGTACATGAATTATCTAAACATACAGGAGAATAGAGACATTAATTAATTAAATTATATTACTTGTAAATATTGTTATTTGATTAGTTGAAAAAACCATCTTTTTTCTCCCCACTATTTCCCTTGAAAGTAATCAAACTCTAAATAAACATCTAGTTTACAAAAAAAAAAAAAAAGTGTTTTATAATTTAAATTGTTTCAGACCGTAAAATATTAACATTTAAGTGGAATGAGCTTTTAACATTAAAGATTTTCACATATTTAAAAATTCATATTTTACAATTCAAAATAATTCAAATTATAAAACAATAGATCCTTTAGTTTAAATTAAATTGATTCTTCATTTCTTAGTACTATGACTTTAATAAGGTGTTTGAATGAAGAGAATAAAGAAAAGGAAAGAAAGAGATAGTTCTTCTTAATTTAGTTCCATGAAAATCTTTTTCTCTCTTTAACCTAATTACATTTTTAGATTTTTTTTAAATTTATATTTTATTTAACATATTATTTATATAAAATCTGAACAATTTATTTTTATTATGAATGATTTATAATTATGGGTTTTATATTTTGTAAATTAGTATAGTCTAAATTACAAAATAATTTACTGAATAATTATTTTCCTTTCTAATTCCATTTCTACCTCTCTAAGGTTTCTTAATGTTCAAATTTATGCATATTAAGTTATTACTACCCTTAATTTCAACCAAAAAAAAAATACTTTTTAAAGTTATTTTTAATTGTTTATGGTGATTCAAATAATACAAGGAGAGTGGATACCGGCCCCACACCATTTTCAAAGTTATTTCCCGCCTGGGAGTCCATGGAAAAGTCACCAAAATCTCCTGGTTAATGGTCAAACGCTCAGTTTTCGACAGAAAACAACAACACCTTCCAATCTAAACGCACAAGTCCAAAACAACTACCGCACAATTTCCTACGTCGATTCAAATTCAAAAACACCCATTTCCTCATCACTTCACTTCCTCTCAATGCTGCCCCTCAAATCTCTTTCTCGATCCCTTCAAGAAATCTGATGAATTCTGAATCTTAATCTTTCCCAAAAACAGCCCAACATATCCACTCACTATCCAGCATTCAAATCCCAGAAGACTTAAAATCATGGCTTCCTCGAAAACGATTGCTTCCAAGAAGCCTACAGCAATGCAGCCCCAAGCTCCATACAATTCCCTCTATGTCAATCCCCTCACCGACCTCAAACACAACCGTAGCTGCAGCGAGGGGAACAACAAGGAGAACGTTTGCTTTGATGATGGCGACAAAGAAAATGCAGCGCCAGTGCCGAATGGGACTTCTCCTGTTCCCTGCAGGAAGACCCCGCATTTCAAATCTTTATCCACAATTGGGTCATTTCACTCCTCCAAAGAGGCTTCA